TAGACATTATTGGTGAAGTTAGTGTTGATTGTCCACCATTAATTGCCCTGAGAAGGTCTTCTTAAACATTTTGAAAGGCCTGTGAGGTGATTTCAGACAGTAGCTAAGACTTAACCGCATTGCAGTGGATCTGAATTCACCTATAGGCCAGACCAAATAAAGATAGCAGATATCCTTCCTTAGTAAAGGACATTGTAAAACCCTACCCAATTTACCAACAATCCAGCAGCTTCACACTTTTCCCAAGACTAGCTTTATTTTTATCTCCAGCTTTGAAACCAACTAAATTTAAATTCTTCAGCTGCTGTGGTAAGATTTGAATGCACATCTCCAGATCATTTGTCCAGAGCATCTGGATGACTAGTCCAGTAATATTACCGGTATGTTACTATACTCCATATTTTACTGTTTTTAGACAGACACGAATTGAGGGAGAGATGTTGGCAAAGCCAGGCACACCAGACAAACTCACTGCTATTTTCCTGTGGTGTCAATGATATCTTTTAAGTTGACCTGTGCAAGTGAAGGGGCTCAATTTAATGTTATTCAAAAGGGAGCACTGCTGACAATGCTGTCATCTTTAAGCATCGCACTGAAGTACCGGCCTAGATTATGTGCCAAAATCTGGAGTGGAGCTGGGACTCAGTCTCAAAATTTCGCTCAGTTAGCTGAGTAGTTGGTTTGCAATGCAGAGTGACACCAACAGCACAAGTTCAATTCCTGCACTGGTTGAGGTTACAATGAAAATCCTACCTTCTTAACTTCACCCCTCACCTGACACATTGTGACGCTCAGGTTAAGCCCACCACCAGCTCTCTGTCTCTTTCTCTAAGGAGAGTGTGGCCCCTTTGGGACTATGACAACTTTACCTTTATAACTTGCAACAGACCTGCCTGTCTGTGGAGAAACAAAGTTAATGTTAATCAATGTTTACATTGTTTTGTTTTAGAGGCATCAAAGAGAGAGAAAACAGGAATATGACATTGAAATAAAGGATCAGCCATGACCATATTGAATGGCAAAGCAGACATGAAGGGCCAAATTACATATTCTTTCTCCTAGTTTCCATGTTCTGGATTTCAGTTCTGAAGATGAGTCATACTTGACTCAATCTTAACTTTGTTTCATTCTCAACAGATGATGCCAGACCTACTGAGTTTCTCCACCACTTTCTATCTTTGCTTCACATCTCCAATATCAGCAGTAGCTTGCTTTTATCCTTGTCTTCTCAGCCAGGTTACCTTAAAGTTCCCATTGTATGACATGGAAGAGGAACAGGCGAGTTCTCCCCAATATCCCACTCCTAACATAATACTTATTCCCCAACCAATGACACTGACAACTGATTATTTGGTCATGATCACATTTCTGTGACAGTGAGGCTAGGAATAGGAAGATAATACAGTTAAATATGTGGCTTAGGAGCTGGTGTAGGAGGGAGGGCTGCAGATATGTGGCTCACTGGGGTGTTTTCTATGGCAGATGGGACTTGTACAAAGACAGGCTGCACCTAAACTGAGGGGCATCAATATCCTGGCAGGGTTTAAATGAGTGTGGCAGGGAAGCAGGAACCAGAGCAGTAGGTCAGCAAGTGAAATGATTGAGGAGGAGTTATAGACTTAAGACCAGTAAGGCTAAGAGGAACAGATAGGGAGACATAAGTGAACATGGCAGGACTGACAGCCTGAGTGTATTTGTTTTAACGTGAGGAGTATGACAGGAAAGGCAGATGAACTTGGAACTTGAATGAGGACATAAACCATCTTATAACTATTTCAGATATTTAGTTGAGAGAAGTACAAGACTGGCAGCTTAACATTTTGGGATTTAGATGTTTCAGGTGAGGTGGAGAGGTATGTAAAAGAGGTGGGGGAGTTCAGAAAGAAGGGTCCTGACCCGAAACGTCAACTTTCCTGCTCCTCTGATGCTGCCTGGCCTGCTGTGTTCCTTCAGCTCCACACTGTGTTACCTCTGACTCCAGCATCTGCAGTTCTTACTATCGCTGAGTGCTGGGATCCCTGTTGTTTGTAATATATAGAAATTATTTGTAAGAGAATGTAGGTGATCTGATTAGCAAGTTTGTGAACAACCCAAAGATTAGAGAAGCTGTGGATAGTGAGGAGGATTGCCATACGATACAGCAGGATATAGATAGGCTGGAAACTTGGGTAGAAAAGTGGCAGACAGAGTTTAATCCAGACACATCTGAGGTGATGCATGTGGGAGATCTAATGCAGGAGGCAAGTATACAGTAAGTCACAGAACCCTTAGAAACCTCAACATACAGACTGATCAAGGCATACAGGTCCACAATTCCCTGAAAGTGGCAACAAAATGGATAAGGTGGTCAAGAAAGCATATGGTGTGCTTGCCTTCATCAGTTAGGGCACAGTATATTAAAAAAAATAGCAGGCCATGTTGCAGCTGTACAGAACTTTAATTAGGCCATGTGTGGAATATTGCATACAGTTTTGGTCGTCACACAACCAGAAGGATGTGGAAGCTTTGGAGAGGGTATGGAAATGGTTTACCAGGATGTTGCCTGGTTTGGAGGATATTACCCATGAGCAGAAATAGTACAGTCTTGATTTGTTTTATGTTGAATATCAGAGGCTGAAGGGCAACCTGATAGAAATTTACAAAATTATGAGAGGCATAGATAGAACGGATAGTTGGAGTACTTTTTTCCAAGGGTTAAAATGTCAATTACTAGGGGACGTAGGTTTAAGTTAAAAAGGGGAAAGTTTAAAGGAGATGTGAGAGGCAGGTTTTTTACACAGAGGGTGGTAAGTGTCTGGAATGCACTGCCAGAGGAGGTGGTAGAAGCAGATACAATAGTAATGTTTAGAAGCATCTTGACAGATAGATGAATAGGCAGGGAATGGAGAGATTTGGATCGCGTAGAGGCAAACGGTTTTAGTTTACAAAGGCGTCATGTGCCAGCGTAGTCTTAGTGGGCTGTAGGGCCTGTTCCCATGCTGTATTGTTCTTTGTTCTTTATTTAAGGGAGCTTCCAATCTGCAAATTGGCTACTGAATTACAATAGCGACTATACAATGTTTGCAATTTGTGGATGATTGCAGTGTCATCGCTCAGATCAGATTGGCAAACTATGCTTAATCTCTTCAAATCTGCATGCAGGAAACTCGGCCTGTCCTTGAATGTTTGCAGAAAATACTCAAACTTATATCAACTCACAGCCAAATATTCCATTCCCATATACATTGAAGGAGAGACTCTGGAACAGGGAAAGATTTTGCCCAACTGCAGTTAAAGTTTTATCAAATGAGATGCCTGGTGTGTAATCTGCCATGGTTTGGAGTGACTTTCCTTACTCTATTTTTCATCCTACACCCTATTAGTTACACAGCAAGCTATTCAATGCCCTTCTCAAGAAATCATGTGGCAGGAAATGAGGAAGGATTTACTGTTGCCAGACTTTATGCCGTTCTCAGGTTCTGAGGAAGGGTCACCGGACCCAAAACGTTAACTTTGATTTTCTCTTCACAGATGCTGCCAGACCTGCTGAGCTTTTCCAGCAACTTTTGTGTTTGTTTATGCCATTCATACTGCCGGCACTATATTTAAAGCACACCTTCACAGCACCTCAGATGTTGCAAGCCAGAAACTGGCCCTCATTGTGTGGTGCTGACCCGGTAAGGCCCAAGGTGAAAGAAAGCTCACTCCCCTTGTCATAGACAGGGATCTGGAGGTGTTGGTGGTTGGGGTAGTGAAATGGAAAGCTGTCCTTTTTTCCAGCCGACTGCCACATAAGGCAGTGTCTCTAGCCTGGACCCAGACCATTGCACAGATCAGTGTTGTGTCCTTGGTGAAGTGGAATGCCCAACAGTGCAGCAGGAGGGTCACTGATCTACTCTGCTCCACAAGGGAAAGTGTCACCATCTTCTGTCTGCTACCTCACACTCACAGGGCCATCACTCTCCCTTAGCCTGCTATGTGTACATTGCTCACAAAGATTCATGGACTACAACTTCACTTTCGCATGCATCAGGTCCGCCCAACAGCTCCCATCTATCTCATCCTTCCAAATAATTAACCTTTCCTGTTCTCAGCACTCCCACTCACTCACTGGGACAGATTCTCTTTAAAGCTGCTGTTTACTTTTTTGCAATTGGAGCTTGACGTGTGAGATTCTGTACTTTGAGATTATCAGTGTCCTTTTTGTAAAACTTGTGCAGATTTCCTGCTTTCGCTAAATGGCTACAAGTCAGTACTAGGGATTATTAAGTTGGTTTTATTGTTCCACAATTAGAATCATCTTTAAAGTTGATTGTCCAGGAAGGGTTAAATGATTGAAACATTTGAAGGACAGTGTTCCTGGCATGAATTCCTGAAATTAGCCTTCTGATTATTCTGTCTTCTATCTACTTTGCCATTTCTGATTTTGAACTCACTCAACCAGTAGCCACTCAAGCTAACTGCTGAAATCTCTCCCGTCTAGAAATCTGATATCTAGAAACACTAATTGCCAGAAATATTTTCAGGTCACCCAAGTAACGCAAGGTGGCATTTTCATCAAATTAGTCGGGGTAGCAGGGTGGCTCAGTGGTTAGCACTGCTGCCTCACAGGTTCAATTCCAGCCTCAGGCAACTGTGCAGAGTTTGCACATTCTCCTCGTGTCTGTGTGGGTTTCATCTGGGTGCTCCTGTTTCCTCCCAAAGTCCAAAGATGTGCAGGTTAGGTGGATTGACCAAGTTAAATCGCCCATAGCGTGATGTGCAGGCTAGATGGGTTAGCCATGCTAAAAAGCAGGGCTAGAGGGATAGGGTAGGGGAATGGGTCTGGGTGGGATGCTCTTCAGAGTGTCAGTATAGACTTGAGGGGTTGAATGGCCTGCTTCCACACTGTAGAAATTCTATGATTTTATTATTTCACTTTACAAATGGAAACATGGAAGGTGCAGTATTTTATATCTACTGTGTTTTCTAGTTCACAGACTTGTGATTATACATTCTAATGTGATTTTATAATCCAGAGAATTAAATCCAGAAATGTCATGCTCCATGGGGAGTTCACACGAGTGTAAAAGTTCACTAATTGATTGTTAAATTCTCATGTTGATAACCTCAAAACGAAATCCCATGGCAGTACCAGCAAATGTGAACCCATCACCAGCATTTCTATCGGAGTTCAGTCCCAGTTAATTGTCCTTCGAGCATTTTCATCCCTGCAAATGAAAGGAATCACTTTGAACTTTTAAACACGATCACAAACAGGTGCTAGCCATGCTGAACTAATTATGCAAAAGGTTTTGATGTTGTTGTTGCCATAGCAGCTACTACAATTTGGTTTTTTGGTGACCATCAGATTCAAGTGTGGACACACTGAAAATGCAACTGTGCTTCCAGCTTTAAACACAGCTTACCTGTCAAAGGTAACTAAACCCCCTTCACTGTACCTGAGGTGCTGTTTGCCGTCGAGCTTTCATTTTTGCACTGCCATTGTCTACCTGTGCTTTAAAGTCGACTTGAGTACTTGGCAGAAGCATAAACTCCACCTGCTTTGGGCCACAGCGGAGCTCTTTCCTGTACAAAGGGCAAGGAATGAAAAGCTTAGCACTAAAACTTGATCCCCATTTCTAAGAGGATAAAGATGGGGTTCCATAAGCTTAGCCCAAAGCACCTGGATATTGAAACAAGAAGCTGCTTCAGTATTCAATGGGCGCTTTCATTTTCATAAGTCAGTCTTTGCAAATTAGAATCCTTTACCTACAGCAGAGAAAAAGTCATTAGTGGATTATGATTGTTACCTCTTTCATATCTGCTGCTCAGCCAGGTGAACTGTACTTTGCTTTGATTCATGGACACAGGAGAAGATTAAGAATCAGATCTCATACAGTCATTCCTGAATTGATTTCCCATGCTAGGTTGAGCTGTATTGGTTGTGTTCAGAGAAAACCTTGGGACAGGCTTTGGGCAATGCAAGTTTGCGAACAATGACCGTGCAAACATTACTCTAAAATAAAAAGTTAATATTTCTGCTAGACTAAAGCATTCCATATGAATGCATTGAACATTCACTGTAATGTGTGAATATCTTGACAGGAGGCAATTTCAACCCTTCCACAACAGAACAGAGATTTTTGATTTGCCTCTATTTCTGTGGTGTGTACTCCAACTAAGAGGAATGCAGTAATTAATATAATTACTCAGATTTGCTTCCGTAAAGTCAGGGTCTTACCTCAGTATACATTTACTTCAAGATGAAATAATTTAATTGCAATATTTGTCCCCCAAGTTGTAATTAATTTTGTATTTAAAGTTAGCTAAGAAAATTTATGTTGGATATTTCTGGATTATCTCTCAGACTTTTTTTTGTAAAAGCAGAAAGCTGTCAACTTGGCACAGCTAGTAACACATGATTTGAAAGGTCATGGGTTCAAATCATGTTCCAGGACTTTACCGTGTAGTTTTAGTGAATTGTTAAGGGGCTCATTAACTGTTGGAAGTGTACCATCAGGATATAATAGTTGGTAAGGCAATAGTTGAACAGAAGCAGCAAGCACTTCTGATGTGCTGGAAATCTTAAGTCTCAACTAAAATTTGATGTGATTTATTACTTTCACATGTAACAAGGTAAGGTGAAAAGTATTGTCTTACGTGCTTTACAGGCAGATTGTACTATACAAGTGCATCAGGGTAACAGAACACAGTGCAGGATACTGTGTTACAGCTGCTGAGAAGGTACAGAGAGAGATCAACATTAACATAAAGCGATCCATTCAAAAGTCTGATAACAGCGGGGAAGAAGCTGTTCTTGAATCTGTTTGTACATGTATTCAAACTTCTTTACCTTCTGCCTGCTGGAAAATGTGGAAGATAGTATAACCAGGGTGGGAGGGGTCATTGATTACGTTGGTTGCTTTCTCAAAGGAGCAGGAAGTATAGATGAAGTCAGTGGATGAGAGGCTGGTTTGCTTGATGGACTGGACTGTGTTGTGGAACCAAGGATGCTGAGTCCAGACTGTAACAAAATATGCAATGTCTCAGTCAATGTAAGAGCTCTCATGATTACCTTTTCTGATATGTTGGACGCACAGATAATGAGCATCACTATAATAGTGTTCCACAAAAAAAGAGAAATGCAGTTTCTTCCCAAGAAATACCACTTCTATCCATTACTCTTGCATTGTCTGCATGGTCACATTTTCTATATCTCAAGAGAATCAATCTTGGAGACTCTGCAGCCTTTCAGACTCAACATCAAGTTCAATAACTTTGGGGCTTGAGCTCTCCCATGTCCTTACACCAACCCCCACAAACCAAGCCTTGTTATTACATAGTCTGCTATCACACACCATCCATTGTTAGCCACTAACATTCCCCATTAATAGCTATTTACTCTCCTGGCTAGATCGTTATCTGCTCCTTTGTCTGTTTAACTGTTCTTCTCTCTCTTTGAGCTGTGGCCCACCTATCATTTACTCCTTACCTCCTCCCCTCACCCTCTATTCTGCATATTAAGCAACATTTTCCTACGACCCATTAATTCTGAGGAAGGGTCACGCACACTAAAGCATTAACTCTGATTTATCTCCACAGATGCTGAGCTTTTCCAATAATTTCTATTTTTGTTCACCATTCTTCATTCCTTTCTCTTCCTATTTACACATTTCCCCATTGATAATACTTGTAACTGAGTTTGGTGATAATATGCAGCTTTAGTGCATTGCCGCTTCTCTTGATCTAAGGATATTGCAACATTTTCCATGTATTAGTCAAGGTATTTCATATATTACATGGATAAAAGATATTACCTCCCAGTTAATGTTGGTAAATTGGATGCCACATTTATGGCACAGCAGCAATTAATCTCTGGATTCCATGAGCCTTTTCACTGTGTCCCAGTCTCCCTGTCACCCCCAAGCTCTGTTGACTCCCTGTCCAGTTTTAAAAGTAATAGTAACGTCTAAGGTTTGTGTTTAGGTCTCCAGTCTTTTTCTTCACTCTTAGAAAAGATTGTTGAATATGAGATTGATATTGATGTTTTTATTTAAAAATATACAATACCATGTTAAGAGTGGGCAACCTAAAGTAACCAATTAATACACTGAATAAAATATGATAGTGTTGACAGATTGGGTGATGTATTGCTGCTGCAGCAAAAGGGAGCTGCTGGACACCAGAGTGATTCAGAGCAAGCACATCGGTAGGAAATTTTTTTACTGCTCAAGGAATTTTGGATCTGTGTTGTGGAGCTGGAGTCTGAGCTGCAGGTATTGAGTCATATCCAGGAGGGGGTAAAAAGGTCAGACACTTTGTGCCAGGTGGCAGGCACAACTCTGAGTATTTCAAACTTGGTCTATTATCAGGGACGGTAGGGTGTCACTGTAGGTGAGGCAGGTATGAAGACCCAGTGGGTTACAGTTGAGGAGCCTCAGCTTTTGCAATTGTCCAACAGCTGTGGAGTTCTTGCAAGCTGTATGGACGACACCAGGGACTGCAGAGAGGATGAATGAATTGAAAACAGCACATGATATGGGCAGCCATTCCAGTAGGAGGAGGAAATAGGAATGTACCTGTGATAAGGGATGATATATTTAGAGATATTCAGCACAGAAACAGACCCTCTGGTCCAACTCGTCCATGCCGACCAGATATCTTATATAAATCTAGTCCCATTTGGCCCATATCCCTCTATACCATTCCTATGCATATACCCATCCAGATGCCTTTTAAACATTGTAATTGTACCAGCCTCCACCACTTTTTCTGGTAGCTCATTCCATACATGCACCACCCTCTGCATGAAAAAGTTGCCCCTTAGGTCCCTTTTATATGTTTCCCCTCTCACCTTTTAAACATATGCCCTCTAGTTTTGGACTCCCCCACCCCAGGGAAGAGACCTTGTCTGTGTACCTATCCATGCCCCTCATGATTGTCTAAACCTCAAAAGGCCACCCTTCAGCCTCTGACAATCCAGGGATAGATACCATTCCCTGCAACCATAAGCGAGAGTCCTGAAGGCAGAGTTGCCTGCCTGGTGCCAGGATGAAGGAGCTTGGGTCTGGAGAGGAATGTTGATTGGACTAGAAAGGTGGTTCTGCTGAAAGGATTTGAACAGTTACGTGCTATGTTAGTATGCAAGGTAATAGTCCCTTTAAACTAATTGGGTGGGAAAGGATTTCGGAAAGGGGAAATGCAGGCATACAAAGCAAAAGGATAGGGAAGTGACACAGGGCAGCTATTTGGATAACAATACCCAGAGTGAAACAGGAATGGACAGTCTGTATAACATAGCAAAACAGCAAGTATGGTCAAGGAGGGGGATCAATGTTAAAGAGGCAACAATAATAGCTCTTTACTTGAACACATGTAACTTTTAGAACAAAATAAATGATTTGATGGCACAAATAGAGGTTACTGGGTGTGATCTCATAACCAAGTCTCTATAGCATCTATAGAGATCAAAACTGGGAACTAAATATTCTGGGGTCCTTTCAAAATGTTAGGCAAGAAGGAAAGGATGGTGGGGTTACTTTGTTAGTTTAGGATAGAGTAAGTATGATAACAAGAAAGAATCTTGGATCAGATGATGGACAATCCATGTGGGTGGAGATATGAAATTATAAAGGGAAAGAAGACAGTGGCAGGAGCAATCTGTGGGGATCCCCCAGGCGGGCTGTACTATAGAACAGAGAATGAATCCAGAGGATATAATGAGGACATGTAAAAAAGAAAGGCAATGTAAATTATTCTCTTAAAGGTTAGTGAATAGGGAATTCTTTCGTGCAGGGGGCTGTCAAGGTTGGGTCATTAACTATACTCAACGCTAAGATAGATAGGTTTTTAATCAGTAATCGAATCAATGGTTATGAGGAAAGGGCAGTAAAGTGGATCTGAGGATTATTGGACCAGCCAAAGAGTCTATATTTGCTCTAGTATCTCACAATCTTATTATTGTACCTCAGAAATCACTTCCTGTCTTGACTCTTTGTACAAAGTCTTTTCTATTTTACTTGTCAACTTGTTGGTTCTTCCTTCTCTGCTCCACCGTTGGAAACTGGTCATTTGGACACTACTGTCACCCGATGCACACTCCCAGTTCCCTGCACATTTTCACAACAATGCCCCACCCCCTGCATGCCCCCGCCCCCGCTCCCAGCCTCACTCCAGCCTACAAACCTTGCCCTCTAGTTATTTTCCAGGCAACCTGTTCAGAGTTGTTATTACACACCTCTGGAGCAGATGGGACTTGAACCCAGGATTTCTGCTATAACGGTAGGGACACTGCCACTGCACCACACGAGCCTCTCGTAGAGCCTTCCGTCTATATTTTCAGTACAATACTCTTCATCTGCTCTATGATGGTCCATATAAATGTTCTTCACATTTTCACAACAATCCCCCATCCCCCGCATGCCCCCGCTCAAAATTCATTCTCCTTCTTAGTGTGTAAAATTTATGGATTCATCCTCCCTGAGTCATTAATTGAAAAGAATAAAGGTGAAACCTTGGATAATGAAGAATTTGTGATTTGGTGGAACCAAGTTTAAAATTTAAAAATCTGAAGAATGCAGAAAGAGGGGAAGCCTGACACCAGTAAAATATTCCATCGTCTTTAAGTTCTTAAGATACAGTGGGACAAGGTGAGGTCATTTAATCTTTCCAGCCTGTTCTGCTATGCATTGAAATGATGGATGATCTGTATTGTTACTCTGTCCACCTGCCTCGGCTGCATATCCTGTTATAAGCTTTCTTCTGTAAAAATCAGTGGATCTCAGATTTGAAATATTTGGGCTAGCACCACCATTTTGTGGGTGGAATGAGAGAATATGCAAATGGTCTTGATTCCACTTCAGTGAGAGTCGATGGGAAGAGAAACAGAAAGAGGAAATCAACATGCATACTGACAGTCGAGTTGCTTTATATATATTACATATATAGTTTTAAGTGACTTGCAGAAAGATGTTTCACTTTATAGATATGCTATTGGTATATATATTTATGAAATTGAAGTGGAGTGATGAGTCTATTTTATGTTGCTTGACAATTCTTTGATTTTTTTCTTACACTGTTCCAAGTATACTCCTGAGTTTTAACAGCTGTCAAACTCTGGACTGACATTTAATAATCTTAAATTATTAATTTAATAATTAATTGTTTGCCAGCATTCCAAACTGGTAAGGTATTCACTTGTGATACGTCCCTTTGGCATCTATTTCTTCATAGAATAGTTGCCAAAAGATATTTATCACATGTGAAGTGGACAACTCTACTGGACAAGCTTCCTGATCTTGGGCAGTTATGTTTCTGTTTGTCAGAAGCTGATGGAGACTCAAAGCTCTGAGATGAAATGTTCTGAAAGAGTTTATAACAAGAGAATGATAACTTATTTTTAATTAATTCATGGGATGTGGATGTCGCTGACTAGGCCAGCATTTGTTACTGGTACCATAATTACCTTGGAGAAGGTGGTGGTGAAATGTCTTCTTGAAATCTTACAGCCCTTGGGGGTCTATTTATACTTACAATATTGTTAGGATGGGAGATCCAGGATTTTGTCCAAACAATAGTAAAGGAATGGCAATTTATTTCCAAGTGAAGATGGTGAGTAACTTGGAGGGGAACTTGCAATTGGTGATGTTTCTGTGCATCTAGAACCCCTCTCATTCTAAGTGGCAGAGATCGCAGGTTTGGAAGGTGCTGTTGAGGTGGTATACATTTTGCTACTGTGCAATGTTGGTGAAGGGAGTGAAAGTGAAACTGTTGGATGGGGTGCCAATCAAATGAGTTGACTTGCCGGAACAGAGTTGAGCTTCTTAAGTGATGTTGAAGCTGCATTCATCCAAGCAAGTGGGGAATATTCCATCCCATACCAAACAGATGGCACTGGGGAGACAGGAGGTGAGCTATTCACTGAGAATTCCTAGCCTCTGGCTTGCTGTTGTAACCATAGTATTTATATAGCTGGATGACTTTTTGGTCAGTAGCAACACCAAGATGTTAACAGTGAAGAATTCA